TTGCGATGCTGTCGATATCGACATTTGTCTGTCAGCCGATGGACTCCTTTACTGCGTTATGTATAAAAAGCTGTTTTTGTACAGTTTTTCCAATGTAGTGCAAATTTTTTAGACTGTATTCCGACATACCTCATGCCTTAATGGGGAGTGTGCGTGTATCTGATTGTTGCTGTTGCTGTCACTTAACGACAACTGCTCTCAGATGAAGACTGTCCACAAAATGCCGGATAAAACGACAATAGATGCTTGCCGTCCTGATATGATTAATGGTTTGAGCTGGGATCAGTGCAAACTACTCTTTGTTCAAGTTCTGAAAGGGTCGAGAAGGCTGTTTGATTTGGTCTTTTTGAGTCCAGATTAATATGAAACATTTAGCTTTAAGTAACTATTGTTTTGAGCAGGGTTAGGAATGATTCAGTTTTCTGATTTTGAACGAAGACCACAGATTCTACACACTATGTCAGGAGTTGTTGGATATCATATGTTATTGATCAGAAAATGTTACAGAAACTGAGTAAAACGAGTAGCTGTGGCATTTATGACACATAGTTGATAGTTCGAACAGTGTGACATGCTGATCGACCAGATATACTTGAAGAAAGGATTTACCCTACATTTACTTCGATATCGTCAGCGTTGTCTGTCAGTGGCACCGCAGATAGTGTGGGCATATTTCTCATGCAGATGTCGCATCGAGACATACAGATGATCCGCAATTCCATTTGCAGTCAGTTTCTTTAGAAATGAAGAACGGGATTTACGGAATGTGCTGACCATAACAGGACAATGATAATTTTTACTGGTTTTTTTTGTAACTTTGACTCTTGTATGCATGTGACTGTTGTGTTCTTTGGAACATTCTTATTTGAGCTGAGTTCAAGAACATCTATCACTATTTAGCAGTAAGGGTTCTTCATTAGATCGAAGGCATTTGATAAATAAGAAGCGACCGAGAAGAAGGCTAAAATTTAAATCTAGAACGGCATGTTTAAATCATGCACTTTTTACATGATGCGTGATTATCGCTGTGTTGATATATATCGGTCGTGAAAGTACTTCTCAATAAAGACATCGACAATGGGATGAAACAGACTGATGGTGATTTCTAGTGAAGTTATTCGCATAACTTAGCCTATAAATAAGTGGTTAATTTAGATGCTAATTGATCAGATTTTGATTGGAAGTGGTTGAATTTGACATGTCGTAAGTCATAATCAAATGAATCGAAGCGATTCGTAGATAGTAATTTAATTTTTCCCAAAGCAAACTCAAATCAACTCTAAATTATGCTTCAGATCCTCTTTCTCTACGTGATTTGTTATTGCTTTTACCTAACGTCTGACATCTGTTTGTGTCTCCGGTGAACCCACATTCTGTGTTGGGTAAATTCAGTGTAATTGCCACTACGTGGCATTGCGGAAATGGGGTTTATATTTCTCTTTGCCATCTGTTTCTGAATCACTGTATTTTCTGCTTTCGTAGATCAGCGGCATGTCGTGTACGTCGTGTGTGCATCGTATAGAGACCGCAGTTCGCGCATTGCGCGGCGTTTCGTCCGTGTCCGTATCGTTCGCCACGTCTTTGGGCACTATTATGTTCAATTCTGACCACATTGGCGCCAGAAGCATCATCGAAGCGATCGAGGTAGGTAAATCTAATGACAATTTTTACAGTAAATTAAATTAATTTACTCATATCCTTTTATTCCTGTTATCCGGATACTGTTTAGGGCCTTGGATATCGATGCTCCGTGGTCACAAAGGACGAACGTCTATCAGGATTAGACAACAGCAAAGAGATTAAAAAGTAGTGTTACATCAGTTGCATTTATCTGGTATTAAAAATACATTTTCACATATTGTGAAAATATTAATAGGCAAGTAGTGCTGTCTTAGAATATTGATCTCATAACGTGTTGTACTGCTTTCTTGCTTTTAGTCGCTAGAGAATTTCTCGAAATGCACCATTATATTTACACCTACATTTAGATTCATTTACTATGAGTCGATTATAGATTATGTCGTAAATATTGTGTGAAATTGGTTTTAGCTGAGTTTTGTGTTCGTTTGAAGATTCCGCAAATACACATAATGAGTGAAACACTTGAAACGTCACTTGTGACTAGTAATGCAGTATTTGAATCAGTGAGCTTTTGAGTCATTACTTTATTAATCAGTCCGTGTTGGTTTTACTCCTATTCCAGCATTAGTCGAAGAAGTGTACCTTCTGGGTGGTTTGATTGATATGCTATTATATTTACATTATTTATTTTATTTCCTAACGATGAGTTTCTAAATCGTCTTCTTATTACGATCTTCTGGAAATGTTGAAACGTGATAAATGACTGCACACGTTGCTGTCATCGACACTTTCAAACCGAAATCATCTAAATATGGTTAGCTACTTGCAGACAACTCGGCTATTCAACTTGCTCTCTTCACAGCCAAACGCTGATTAGAGCCCTAAACCCTTTTCTAGTTTACTTCTTCCAAGCAAATTAGCTTCTACATATCTTTGTGCCGATATCTGGTTTCGTGATTTGCTATATTATTGTTATGTTGGTAACTCTGAATGAAAAATAGAAAAAGAAGTATTGTATAAACCAGCATTGTAAACTAATCGTGTATAAAATAAACACAGTTACACAAAAACCGCATAAAACTCTAGACTTCAGCATGGCATCATATGAAGTAAACTATGTATCCGTTAAACTTCTTTTCTTCAGAAAACAATTTACTAAATAATTTACTAATATGCATACCTGCAAATAAAATAATTTCAGGCGTAGGTTCACCGTCATCTTGCTTCTCGTGGTCTAGCGGACCGTTCAAGCAGGCTACGGCTCCAAACCGGCTGTGCGTCTACGCCGCGTAAATCCAGAATTAATATAAAAAACATTATTTGCCTACCGGCAGAAAATAATTGTTTGCGTAATCAAAGCTTGACACCCATAGCACAGATGTTAATTTTACAATATTACTCGAAATAATTCAAAAAATTCATTTTCTTCTTCTGGCGTATGTGGCGAGTGTTAAAAAGGATTCTTTTTGTCCTGTTCAGTTGTGGTAGAATTTTACTTTCCATAGAACTAACTCCAGTACAGGACCTCATTGTTAAAATTAAGAATCGAATGTCCTTTTTCGTTTTCCTCATATTCTAGCTTTGTATTGCTAAAATTTCTTACTCTATTTGATGATCGCCCATTTCATCCAAATCCTCATCACACCAAAAAATTCTTTGAATTTGTATGCATGAAGGATGGATTCTTAACGAGGCTTCATTCCAACGATTTCCCCAGAATCATTGGAAAGAAATCCCACTTTTATTAATAAGTTCCTTGTTGCACCATTGCGTTTTATATCTATATCGAGATTTTTTTACATGATCGTACGAAAATAGACCTCTAAGCAATCTCGCTTGTAGCTGTGTTTTTGTTTTCTACTCTTTGTCCTGTAATGTTTTCTCTTTCTCCTGCCCGTTACTCTCTGCAGGTAATCTTCTTCTTCATCTTTCATGACCGTTTCCCCTTTCGGGTCGCGGAGGCACATGCGTCAGAGAGTGCTTTCGACATTCCCCATCCTGTGCCAGAGTCTGAGCTTTGGCAGAAGACAACTGAAGTCTGGAGTGCACTTGTTCAATGTATTTGCACAAGGCTAATTTTGGCCGTCCCCTGGATCTTCTGTCGCTCGGTTTGGCAAGAAATAGCTGTTTCGCCTTCTGTTCTGGAGGCTTTCGCAACACATTCCTAAACCATGGCAGCTGTGACTTTTCAGTCTGAAGAAGCAGCGGCTGTACACCAAGGCTCTCACGGATGTCTGTTTTCCGGACCAAATCGAGACATGTAAGGCCAGCGACTAGTTTCGGAATACCTATTTCAGCCACTTGCACTCGAGGTCGAAGCATTTCAGTCATGGTCCACTACTCATGACCGTAGGTTAGCATGGGGTAAAGATCGATTTGAACACCGAGAGTATAGTTTTCAGACTCAGCTCTGCTTTAGTCACGTGGTTCAGGTTAATTAACGCAGAACGCCACTAGCTACTCCAATTCGCCGGTCGATCTCTTCCTCCAACTTTCCATCACTAGTAGATACAATTCCGAGGTACTTGAACTTTTCCGCCTGCTTCACTGCCTCTCCATTAATCTGAAGAGTGCAACGGATAGAAGAACGAGAAAGCACTAGGTTTTTCGTTTTAGATGCGTTCTCATGCATGCCAATCACTTCGCACTCGGCTGTGAACTTTTCTAAGGGAGCATTGTAGATCGGTTTCAGAAGATGGCAGTAAAACAGGGGTCGTCTACAAACGGCAACCTTCTCTTCTGCACATCTGCTGTATCGGCACACTCATCGCCTTTGTTGCTCCAGACTATTCTATCCATGGACAAGACAAACAGAAGGTACAGGACGCTGCCTTGACGGAGACCGCTGCCAACGTTGAAGGGTTTCGACCTAACGCCACTAACTCTGACGCAGCACCTGCTCTCAGAATACCGTTTTTGGCATATACACTGGATGGGCGTACTCCCCTGATTTCTCAACAGTCTGGCGCAGGTCAAATATATGGCTAGAGGTGCATCGACCGAGCCGAAACCCACACTGATATTCTTGTATCTTGGAGTCAGTTATTCCGCGGCACCTCCTTTATTAGTACCTCTACGTAGACTTTACCTGGGCGACTCAGTAAGGTAATGCCCCGATAATTAGACCAGTCCCTATGGTCTCTCTTCTTGAACATGGGTACATCAACTTCCGTTTACCAGTCAGTTGGTGTTTTTCCCGTAGCCACTGCAGGTTGATGGACACATGTAAACCCGTACTTGGCTTATTCGCCTAATTCCTTGAGCAGTTCATGGCGAATTTCATCAATTCTAGCAGCCTTTCCATTTTTGGAGCTTTACATGGCTTGTGTAATTTTATGTACAAAAATATTAATATCTGTTCCCTACTGCTCTTCAAATGAGTCTTCCTGTGGTTGCTCAGGGTTAAGAAGTTCCTCAAAGAACGTCCTTATCCTCGGTAAGAGGGTGTCCTGACCTGTCTTTCAAATCTCTTAGACTGCCTCTTTTCACTCGGTGCCGGTGGATGTTTGCCAGAATGCCCTGTTTGCCATCTGGGAATTTGATTGTAATTCCTCACCGGACTTTTCCCAGGAATCAGCTTTTGTTTTCGTCACTGATTTCGCTGCCGCTTTTCACGCTTCGACATATTTTATGCGTGTAGAAAGCTCCTTGTTTCCAAGGAATTTCTTGAATGCAGCATTCTTCTCTTTGTGCCTCTCGTGTCCACCAGGAAATTCATTTCTGACTTCCAGGCGGCAGACTAACCCGTTTTTATCCGCGCATTCGGTGGCAGCCTCGAGAATGCCCCCCTTAAGCGCTGCCATCCAGTTTCCACATTAGTGGTTATCCGGAATCTGTTCAAACCGTCGTGCGACATTTTTGCAAATTTTGGTGTCGTATCCATCATAAATAATTTTTCCTGTTTGATTCCCTGATTGTTTATGCCTCCACGGTACCGTGATATCGCATGGTACTCCATTTCTTACAGCGAAGCGTGCGACAAGATGGTGTCGGGTTGGGAGCTCTTGGCGAACATGAGCGTCGTAGCTTAATGCCGTTATTGTTGAGGTCGTTGGGCAGTTCTTTCCAATCACAGCTTTGCACTTCTCACCTTCTACTCTGACACCGGTAGCTGTTCTGCAGATAAACCGGTGGAAAATGGAACAGGTGGAGAAGTTGACATACGTAGAGTCGTACTTACAGGTGATCGAACATAGAAGGAAGAGGCTGACCATCGAATTGGAATGTCCAGCGGCATCCTGCGTCAATTAGTTTCAAATTTTGTGACTAAACCAAAAATGAGTCTCAAAACTAGGCTCTGTGTCGATATTATTCAAATATTTTAGGTCGATCATTATTCAAATGTATGCCTATAGTCATGTGTCCTAAACCATGACTGAAAAATTTATACCTCAGATACAATCGTGTCAAATGGGCTTTCTTAGATGAATCGCTGGTGTTGCGCGTCTCGACATGGTTCCGGAATACAGAAATCCGTGAGAGCCTTGGTGTATTGCCGTTGTTTCTTTGAATTGAGAAGGAGTTGCAATGGTTTGGGCACGTTTTACAAACATTTCTGGAAAGGAAAGCGAAGCAGCTACTACTTATCCTACCCACCAACCGACGACATTCAGGACAGCTAAGAATAATCTTGGGCAAGTGTATCGAAAGACTCTGCTCTGAATCGGTTTATCTGCTTCAGAAGCTCAAAAACTGACGCAGGTTCGGGAACGTTGGAGGCACTATCGACGGTCTACCTCCGCGATCCGAAAGGATAACGGTGATCGAATTTACCTGACTTATTGATTGACTGACTGACTGACCGACCGACTGATCATTTCGCATGTTGTTTATACTTTTTCTGCTTTCTGTGTCAACTTCCTTTTCAAAGTGATAATAATTGATATCTTGAAATTGTAATCTCAAAACAGAACCAGATTTGCCAGGCACAGAAATCGCAACATGATTGCTCGGAATCATGTTAGCGTGAATTTAGTTGTATACATTTTTCAAACGTTACGTTTTTGATCATGTATATGATATATACAAATGGTTATCTTAATCTGACTTTCTGCAATTAAGTGACCCCAAGGAGTTTTGGTTTGTATAGCGTCATCATAATTTTAAACATATTCTTAACCTTGATATCGATTGTTTTAGATGGCGAAACTCTTTTCTGATTTCTTTGGTGTTCGCGCTACCCGTTGTTGCCATCATGATTTATTATCATTGGATCCAAGGCACTCCAATGCATCCCGAAAAACAGTACCTTTTGTTTCCCGGCGTTTCGATGGACAATCTGCTTCTTTTTCTTCTCTGTACACCTGTGCAGGTAATCTGAAGATGTTTGTTTGCAGTGACTTATCTTGTTTACTGTGTCTCTTTTCTTGAATATACGATTAGAGCATATAGAATGGACCATACAAGTTATTAATGTTTAAGTCGATCACAAGGGAGCGCTAATTTTCCGTTTCTCTTTGTTATAATTATTCGTTATTTAGGCATGCAGCAAAGACAGCAGTATGATCTAGGGTGTTACTTACCGTCTAGGTATAGAGACTGTGGTGAAGAGGTTAGAAGGCAGTTTCACGACATTTGGTGTATCATTTCGTTCAAAACGTAGCATTCTTTTAGAGAATCTAATCGTGGATCGGCACACGGAAGGCCTATACGAAGTAGACTAGAAGATTATGTATCTCGCCTCACTCATTTTCTGCAGTAGCACTATTCTATCAGAGTTAAATTGGAGGATCGCCGTGGCCTCGAATGTTTTTAGTAGCTTGTCCAATATTTGGGCTAAGGAAGGAGTAGTTTCTTTGACAAAAATCCGATCAGATTAATGTTGTTGTATGGCATGGAACAGTTGTCCTAACGAGGAATTAAGAACGATGATTGACGTGCGTACAATAACGTTGGCTTCAGCGCATGATGAAGGTTAAACAGTAGGGTGATGTAACGAACGACTTTATCTTGTTTCAGACACAGCTATGTGGTGCATACTATGAGATTAAGAAAAGGGTGTTAACCTTATAAACTGGTTGAACATGAACTGTTTATTGCAACCCGCGAGGTTCTTGTCTTTGAGTCGAAACACGGCGAACATCGGCCAGCAGGCCGACATTCAACCTGGAAAAACATGGTAGAGGCAGATCTGCTTTTGGAGAGATCTTCTGCAATGATGATACTACCAGTAGTTGATAGTAAAATTATTGAATATATGTGAATACACTGGACATCACAAGTGAGAGACGTTTTGTTGCCGCAAACAGCCCAAGGTGACCACTTTCGTAAACGCGCACTTTCCTCTAGTTATTTGGTGCTCATGTCTTTAATGTAGTTCTACCATTGTGAATTTCTGTAGATCCTTACTCTGTGATCAGTTGGCAAAGCTCAGGGACAAGTTGGTTGCCACGTTTCACCACCACTCCCCCTGGTGGCTTAGAAATCTTGACATTGACCTATGAAGTTGCTAGTAATTTCCTCCATCCATAAGACAGAAGAAGACCACCACTCCCCCGTTTTCATTGAATACCGATATATAGACTCTCTAATAACTTTCTTGGTTTGACTTCGAGACATTCTTCAAGACAAACCTGGGAGCCTGAACTGTGTACAGCGGTTTTAAGCCATGTTATGAAAGTCAGGATCTGTGAAAACTTCAGACATTGATCCTCACGTAGGTTTAAATCGTATACAATTGCGTAAAATGTGTGATAGAATTTTGATGCCAATGAACTGTAAAACTAGGCACCAGATACCGTGTCATTATACTAAACAAGTTCTTTCTTACCACAGAGCAGCCCCCATTTTTGTTTTAATTTATTCACTGTAAGTACTGAACGCAGTGAATGGAATGGGCACAAACAGTTGTTTTTTATTCTAATGACATAAATCATAGTTTACTTTAAAGCTGACTTATTAGTGTTGATATATTGAATTAAACTTATTTCTGTTTTTGTCTTTTTATCTATCTATTTCTTGTTTTTGTCTAGAACCAAGATTATGCTTTAGTTCATTGGCGGATGGTATTTCTACGTTCAGTCATACAAAGCTCTTAGACACTGTTCTACCAATATGGACGTATTGGTCGTATTGGCAACGACGATCGCCTATGTCTATTCATTGGTCATTTTGGTACTAGCTGCTAGTTTACGTTGGTCAGCGAGCCCTATGACATTTTTCGACGTGCCGCCGATGCTTGTTCTTTTCATTACTCTCGGCAGGTGGTTGGAGAACATCGCTAAGGTGATATTGATCGTAATATCGATGTTGCCTGACACGAGTGGTTTTGTTTTTCAGCGTAAAACATCAGAGGCGCTAAGTCTCTTGGCCTCTTTGCAGGAGAAGGACGCGATCTTGATTCAGCTCGGTGCTCATAACGAAATTCTCTTCGAACAGAACGTAGATTCTGTCCTCCTTCAGCGTGGAGATACTATAAAAGTACGGATGTTTTTACAGAATATTTTTCTGGTGGTTTTTTTGGAACAAATTAATAATGGACTTATTGTTATTCACATTATATGAGATTATTACGTCGTTTGAAGCTGTCCTCAGTCCTGTGGCAATTGGCCATGCAATATAAGCCATGTTAATTATCCCAGTACTTTATATCGAACTGTACAGGGTCGTTGTCTATATCTTATTAATAATGTAGGTGGTGATCTTGACGACGAGATGACCATCGTCACAGTTGTTGTTGCTGAAGATCATGATTATGTTTATCATACTGTTTTTACATCTTGGAATGATGGTGACGATTAGAGGCTAGTGATCACTATTTCGACCATGTGAATGACAACGATCATGGTTATAACTATTATTAAGATGGCGGTAATGCATTTACTAAAAATGATTGTCACGGTAAATATCATGACAGTTCTGACCAGTAACGTTATCGTCATAATAATCACCATTACATCATGATAATGACTGTGATAATCGGTGACAGGAATTCTGTTGCATTTAACAGTAACGATAATGGTCATAATCATTGTCGTCCATATCATCACGATTGCGACCGTGATAATGGCAGTTGTGATAAAGATTATCACGATAGTACTGCTTCTAGAAATGACGACTGTTGTGATAACTCTGCTATGATGGTGATGATGATTGTGATAATTATGATGATGACGTGAGAACCGCAGTTCATATTTGCAGACAATAAGCGTGTCCTTTAAGGTTGTCCCTGGCGCGAGGTTTCCTGTTGATGGAAATGTATTGTCTGGCGAATCTTTGGTAAACGAAAGTTTCCTGACTGGAGAGCCACTGCCCGTTGCAAAAAAAGCAGGTATATTTCAAAATTGGTCGTTACGTGAAGTAGTTTTGTTGATTTCAGGATCGAAAGTAATCGCTGGGTCGCTGAACATGAATGGAACGGTTATAATTGAAGCAACTCACGTTGGCCAAGAATCAACGCTGTCACAAATCGTTCGTCTTGTCGAAGAGGCACAGACTTCGAAGGTCATTAGTTTTATCATACCTTAAAATTTGTTCAAATATTCATGAATCCAGCGTGATGTCAACGCCATTATAAGTGGGAAATGGTCAACTCTGCTGGATGAAGCAAGGCGGGTGGTAGTCTTGTTTATACTGGGTGTTCTTGTCAGTGGATACTGTAGCTGTAAATTCGGTGATAAACTCCTTCAGCCTATGATTGCTAATGAAGCAGTATTAATCGAAACCAGTCAGATCTTTCGATACCGTTAAGCCAAAGCTGTCGAGGATATGGATGCGGTCATCATGAACTAATAAGTAATGATTTTTCAGCCCCGAGTATTATGTTGAGCTTGTTACTTTTTGTTTTTAATGTCAATTGCATGTGTTTTTATTTAGGCCCCAATTCAGCAGGTAGCAGATAAAATAGCCGGCTATTTTGTACCAGGGGTAATCGTCGTATCGACGGTGACTTGGTTTGTCTGGGTTTTGGTTGGATTCTACCATATCGAAAGCATCCGTCTACATGTTATGGTGAGCAAAACTGGTTTTCAACGATTTAAGGATGAAAGTTTGAAAATGCTAAATGGTCAAAATTGTATCTATTTATTTCTTTTCTTGATAAATACAGACAGTCCAGCAGAATCACCAATTCCGTTATGAAGCTACTTGTTTATGATGATTTGAACTAGATAAAAAGTCCCTCGGTTGAATGAGGGATACAAGAAATCACATTTTCAACCGGTTATTTTATACTCCTGTCTCTAGCTATCAAACCTTTATATTAGATAAGCGAGTTTCGATTTTTCTACTTTGGTTATATCCAGCATTTAAGATAGGGAAATTTCATCAGGCAACTTCTCGTTGATTTGCAAGGTGTATTCCATCATGTTTAGAATGGTTGAAAGCATGAATGAGAGGCAAGAAATGAGCAGTCATATCAAAATTTAGGGTAGACGTTGGAAATGCATTTTTAGTTTTATTATTCAATATTTTTACTTAACGAGTTCCTTTTGCATTTGAAGACTTGTAGAACAGTGCGCATTGTGTAACTAGTCAATTTTTACAGTACGATTAACAATCGGCCACTGTTTTTTAGGGATATAAATATACGATATCGCAAAACGGTTCTTTGAGCAGCGAAGATTACAAGCTGATATTCAAAAATGCTTTCGAATATGCGATGACGGTATTGGCGATAGCGTGTCCTTGCGCCCTTGGTCTTGCAACACCGACGGCAGTAATGGTAGGGACAGGCGTCGGCGCTGCAAACGGTATTTTGATTAAGGGTGGAGAGCCACTGGAGGCTGCACATAAAGTACGGCTCACTTATAAAGTGCTTACATGGTACATGAACTTATTTTTGCAGATTACCACGGTGGTTTTTGACAAAACTGGCACCATCACGAAGGGCATGCCTCAACTGTACAAAATATGCATCTTTTCTTCCCTGAAACATTGTCCACTGTCAAACTTCCTAGCTATAGTTGGAACTGCCGAAGTCAACTCAGAACACCCGATTGGGTCAGCAATCACTGCGTACGTTAAGCAGGTATATGATATATAAATTCATTCATTCATATTTTCCAAATATCATATGAAACTTTTGCATCACCCAGTGTTACAAATTATCCGATGGCTCAGTTATTGTTGGCACGAATAAAGTCGAAAAGTAGAAAGCCCCTATTCGAAAGACAGTATTACAGACAACCACTACATTCGCTGATATCTTTCTTGTCTGAAAATTCAACTCCTTCTATCAACTTTCGACTTATCCATTCCTATAATTATAAGTGAATCAGAAGATTCTTCTTATCATTCATTTGCCAGCGCCCCCTTTTCTGTGGAAGATGGACAACATCGTGTTTTATCGTCATATATTTGTGAGGTTGGTTCTTATTCTTTCTTCAGGGTTTTATTCAAAATGGCGTACTTACTAATGGCTAGACGCAAAAGCACTATCAACCTTTTAAAAACTTTTACTCTTGAACTCTTGAATACACAAATTATTATTTTGATGGGAACAGGTATTGGGCAGAGTTTCTAGCTTTTATCATCCATTTAATGTATGCGCTGATGGAACGGCTGTTCGATGAGTTTCATTACTTGGCTGATGATGACTGAGAGCTTTGGCCGAATCCTATTCCTATCAAAACAGGAATTTGTCGTACGTAAATACTTCAATTAAATGTGAACCATCATTTTTCACGTCTTTCTTACGGCGTCAAGTTTCTTTGGATTGTTTCCACCATACTTTATGATATATCTGAAGAATGCTCTGATCAGAACTAAAACCTTGATAGAGCATGGTTTTTGAAACAAAAGGTGCTTTAGTTCCTGCAAACCGAGAAGTTTGGCTCTTCTTCAGATTTTCAGTCTTCCTCAGGCTATGGAATCAGTTGTTTTGTATCAAACTACGAAGGAATGTTGTCCAATTACGACTCCGGGCACTTGGAACGCGCTGTTTATGAGCGAGTCTACGTCTGGAATGATGCCAAGGGAAGATTGGTACCTTTTGACCCTCGGGCGACGGTTGTCCAACCTGAAGGTATGACAGTAGCTTGTGTTTTGAAATCCTTGCTTGCCCCTCTCTGTCGCGGATTTAGGTGCCTTCGACGGCGTATCGTTAGAAACCAAGCACATGGTATATATTGGCAACCGGCGATGGATAGAGAAGAATGGCATCGTCATTGGTAACGACATTGGAATCGCCATGTCGTACGAGGAACGACAAGGTCGCATAACCGTACTG